CCCCCCAACCTCTCCCCCGTAAGCCCCCTGCACTCTTTCCCTATCTCTGTCTTCATCTGTTTCTCTCTCCCTCTCTCAGTGATTTCTATGTTTCTTCCTCCCCCCAGCCCAGCCCAGCCCCAACATACGTACACACATGCACACACAACCACTGCCATACACCACACCCACCCACACACGCACACTGCTCACACACCGTAAATACCTTCGGCAAACTATCTCTCTCCCTCCCTCACCTTTCCACAATCTGCTACCACAGGCCCACCCCTTCATATAGCACATTAAATGTTTGTTGAAATGCCTAAGAAAAATATTGCCCCCGTCACCAACGCCTACAACACCTTCATTCCAAATCAAGTCATTTCTTTCATGCCTCTATGCATTGCTGAGGAGCTTACTAGGTTTGCATAACAATTTTATATGATGTGTAATCCAACTATGACCCATGTACTAAACGTAGAGAGTAGTGTCAACAGGAACAAGACCCATTTATTAAACTTGTTGACCTGGTTGTGTTTAGGTTAATTGTAAGTGTCAGGTCATTCGACACTAAAGATTACATCAAGATATTTCAAATAACAATCTATTACACAATCAATTTGAGCTTATTAAAAACAAAGCAAAATCATGATTTGGACATAGAAACTCAAGAGCAACCACAGTCAATTGCTCGATTTTTTTGCTTTGCGTAGTGTCTTCGGCCCGGAATATATATATGGTGGATCAATTAAACGGAAAATAACTGGTTGTGTTTGACTAATCAGTCAATACCAACTGGGTTAGCTCTCTTTGGTTACTTTTTAACCATATCTAATTTTTTCCCCTTGTTTTTGGTTTTGTGTTTCTCATTTTTGTTGTAGAGATAATTAGCTTTACTTGTAATTATATGATGTTAGATCAAGTTTGATTTATGTGTATAAGCTTATAACTGTTTTGCTATGGACAGTGTCTTTTGAGTAGTAGATCAATTGTTTGATGAAATGTCTCGCTGAAAGTGAAAGCTATTGACTTTATTATAAATATTTTTTGGTCGGGAAAGTTTTTGATTTTATTGAAAAATAATTTTGTTTTGCATTGTGTGGTTTTTTTGGTGATGGGTACTTGGTTTAGAGCTGAACTGATAGCTTGGTTATACAATGGAGAGTGAAGAGGATGCTGTGAAGAAGGTGCAAGTGGTGGAAGCCCGGGCAAGGAACATCAGTCACAATGTGAGGTGCACTGAGTGTGGTAGTCAGTCCATTGAAGATTCCCAAGCCGATGTTGCCATACTACTTCGGAAGGTGATTCATTTTTCAATAATCTTCCCTTGTATGATAAGGAACATATTTACATAGCCGTTTATGTGCCCATGTGTACGAGGGTGCGGAGTAGAGAGATCATATTACTATGCCTTGATATGATAATTGACACGCTGAATATAATCACATCGTACATGGTTTTTTGTAATGCTAGTTTATGTCTAGGACATGGTATAATGCAACTTACAAATCTTGCATTTTTGTTTTGATCAGCAAATCGTGCATTATTTGTTGGGACATTTGAGGGTGGGATGAACACTGAAAATGGAAGCAATTTCGATCCATTTTATTTGAGACACGTGTTAATAAGTATATGACAGAGTTCCCCTCTCTCATTTTACTTCTCTTAGTTCCGAGTCCTATCAGCTTGCAGTGGATTGAAACTTGAATAATCCTTTCATTTAAACCAGTTTTGAAAAATCAATGCTAATAATCAATGTGCATAGCCCACAATGCCGAAGGCAGACAACTTCTAAATAAAGGTAAGATGCTTGATTTATTTTCCGCCTTTTGCGTTTTCTAGCATTTGTTGTTCTCCTGAAATGAATTCTCCAACTCATAGTATGGATTGGCTAAATTTTTTTAGTTTTTCTCTCAATTGCTGCTTTTGCCTATGTAGTAATGAATCGGATCTGCATACTGATACTCATTGTATTATTGGTGCAGTTAATCCGGGATGACATTCGGGCAGGAAAAACTGACAAAGATATCTATAAAAAACTAGAGGATGATTTTGGTGAGACAGTGCTTTATGCCCCAAAATTTGATCTGCAGACTGCAGCTCTGTGGCTCTCTCCGGTAAGCATAAAGAGACCATTCTAAGGCTTGCTGTCCTTTCCCTCTTTCTTTTTTAACTCTAGCTAAAGTTCTGATTATGAAATGCTTGGTGCTTCGGAATAGGTTTTAGTTGCTGGTGTTGCTGGAGGAATATGGGCTTACAAAAAGCACAGGCAAAACACCAATGTTCATATAATGGCCTTGAACCTTGTCAGAGGTGTTCCATTGACCCCAAAGGAGAAGGAAACCATGCTAGAACTCCTCACGCCACCGCCTCCTCATGGAGCTACTCCTTCCTCTTCTAGGTGGAGGAGGTGGATTCCTCAATGACGCGTCTCTGATTCACTCTCTCTTACTAGAAACACATGGATTTGAACTCTGCATTGAGAAGCTATAAATTATCCAGAAATTGCAATCTAGTCTGCAAAGAAAAGAATCATCTTGTTCAAGAGTTTCATCTCAGTCATGTAGAGTAGGTCTTTATGATAAAGACCTTTTTGTTACCTGCCTCTTTGGTAGAACAAGTATGTTTTTCAGTGATCCGTCAAGTGTAATGTTTGCAATGTGCAATCCATGTTATGCTTAGGGTATTGCTGCCTTAGAGCTTTGTCCGAATTCGAGGATTGAATAAAGGGTCTGAATTGAACTCTTATTAATTATAATAAATACTAAATGCTTGTTTCTTCTCTGCTCTCTCTTGATTCTAGTTTAATTTGAGGCCACATGGTCAGGACTGTCCATCACTTGGATATAATCAATGGTGTCGCCAGCTAGATTCTAAAGAAGCTGGTTCAATGGGCAGTTTCAGTTCAGCAAATTGTCTCTACTGAGAATAGAGTAAATGATAGTCAGTAAACAAACTCAATTACAGTAATGTTCCAGCCACTTTATCAAGCTTTGATTGCCATAAATTTATATACTCGGAAGACCATTTGGACCACCGAATATATTCATTGTTTTTCTAGAAGAACAAAAATATATTTATTGATGATACCAAAAATTAGCCAACGGTTGAGATGAGAACTCTTAGCTCGGACATTTGAGCTTGGACCCCTCAACTCGTGATCATTTGTTCAGAGTGTGCAGGTCGGGAATCTTTAGTAACGTGACCCTCGTGTATGCGATGACAGCCATAGCTGACACATTTCAGAAGGTCATATTACACCTAAAAAATGTAACCCGTAATGGCCAAATGTTCTGGTTCATGTATCGCAACAGCTTCAAGGGCAATCACGCTGATTACACTAGGAAGACAATGGTTACAGAGTATCACAAAAATTACGCAAGTCAACTGCACACTATAAATAAGGGCCAAATCTCTCGCATTTATAATAAAGCAATCATCTGTGTTTTTACTCTGTATAATTTATTTTCCCTTAATTAATAGAAAAACTCTCCAAGAGCAAGAGATTCTATTATAATAGATTAATTAAGCTTTCGAGCAGGTAAACCACTATAAACTTTTATCTACTGATCTTTATTCGTGGTTATTTGATTGTTTAATTCTCAAGAGTTTAAAAATTTTGACCGAATATCTCAGCGGTCTCCAAATTCAGATAACTCACCTCCACTCAGCTGTGCAAAACACACCATCATTTACAAAAATCATTCATTCATATACTATACTATTATCGTTAATGACACGTCTCATATGTTTCAAACACATATCGTTAATGCCTAATGCATATACTTAAACTTAACATATCATGGGAGGACATTGACTAGCAATTGTCAATACAGAAAAAAATAATGTTATTTAGACTTTATTTAGGAATTTATTTATGTACAACTATTGATTAGTTGAGGGCTCTATTTAACATTGAAATTTATAATTAATTCAATAATTATATTAAAATCACATCATTAAATCTCTAAATAAAATTTTTATAACATTACTCATACAAAAAAAATAAAATATAATATGAGAAATACATTGCAGGGTTGGAAGCGGCCAATTTAAAGCTGTGATGACTAGTTAGATAGATCCTTGGAAGTGACATCTTCCCCTCATAACACTGTCAGCTACTATTTGTACACTTCCAAGGTAGACAGTTTCCGGGAAACATCGCATTTGGTGACTTGATCAAGGGTAATTTATGCTCGAAAATATAATATAATATAAATAATTTAAAAAAAAATATTGGTGATCGTAAAACGAATTATCATATAAATTAATTGAAACCTATCCTTATATTATAGAATCATCTAATGTCAGACAAAATGATGATATGAAAAATTTTATAGTATATAAATAATTTTTTTTTTGGGTGTTAGTGTCGATAATTATCACCTCCAATCAATAACTTTTTCTTTTTTCAAAATCGTTTCCCGTCTTTTTCAATTTCTATCTATGGCGTGACATTTCTTCCAAACATTGAATATTCATAAAATTTTATATTTTATGTCTAAACACCTTCTTAACACCTGCTGAACGGCAATTAACAGGGGCAATCAGCCAATGCCCTCTCAACAGTGTTAACCACCGTTCAATTTCCTGCTCTCACAGCGACCATAACACAAACACCAAAAGCGCAAAACAATGGAACCAACCCAAATCCTACTAATCTTCGCCGCTATTGAATGATAGAAGTAAGATTCGACCACCTGTACAGAGTGGAGTGATTGCACCTCAAATGCCGTTGGATCGCGCTATTAATTAATAAAAACCAAACTGAAAGGATGAAACCATTTAAGTCCCTCAACTACTTACTCAGACCTCTCTACTCTTATCGCTTTTGTTTTGAACACCCTTCAACGTGTTCGCGATTCGGTGTCTTGTGCGCTCTCACTCTGTCTCCCCGTCAGAAATCTAGCTTTAGTTCCTCTCCCTCTCGTCTCTTCTCCTGCAAGTTCTCTACACAAATAGATTTCTCTTCTGGTATGACATGCAATCCTTTGTTTTGTATCTGGGCTGGAGCTTTCTATTGAAATTATAATAATCAGGGATGGGTTTTATTATTTTTTTGTTTGTTGAAGATATTCATTCTGTGATTGATGAATTTATGTTTTGGTATCTGGGTTGCTGAATTCTTGATGTAGAGAGTGAATTCTGAGGCTGTGATTTGTTGTTTTGGGAACTGAATGTCATTCGGGGCCTAGTTATGGGCCTCTATTCCGATCAAACGCTCTGTACTGAAAATGGTGCCACCTAATTTTCATGGGATGGCCAAATGGCGGTTTACCCTGAGGCTGTTCTATCAGAAGCTTGCGAAACTAGAACGGTTAATTAATTTGTCGAGTGATGAATCTAACAAGTTAGAATTATATGACTATGCTGTTCTTTTTCTGGGTTAATGTTTCGACGTTTTGTCAATACTTCAATTTATGTAGCCATCCTAACAAATTTAAAGTTTCAGTTTTGTGCTTGAGTAGTTTGATTAGCTGAGGAGCCATTGTGTGATTAGAATATGATTGCTACTTGTCTTATAGTCCTAGCGAATGTGACTAGATAGTCTTTGATTTTCCTATAATCTTTTATTCTGCAGCTTCAGATTGTGGTACATTTATGGATGTTGTCAAAGAAGTTGCTCGGCAGGGGTCTGCATCTTGTAAAAGTGTTGCCATAAGAGCTGATCAGAATAGCTATAGTTACAATCAACTGATCTCATCTGCTTGGAGGATATCTCGTTTGTTATGCAATGCTGGCTTGAAAACTGTGAGTTGGCAATCATCTTCTCGTATCCTTATGTAAATGATCTACACCACATTCTTTTAGAAGTTTGAAGTTTATAATTCAAGCTTGTGAATCACCTGATGAATTGTATGCATTTATATTGGAGAGATACTTAATCATGTTCTTTTTTCTGGAAAATTAATATTATTCCTTTTTACTCACTGGTCAAATGTATTTTGTTGCTTTCAATTGTGACTGCCTTCTCATATGAATATTTGTTATTTAGTGTAGACAATATTTGTTTATGGTCTAATACTTATGTTCCTGTTCAACACTCTCTCTGTTTGTGTGTGTGTGATGTCAGTGAGTGCATGTGCATGTGAGTGAGCATGGACATATGCCTCTGTGTATGTGGTTAAGGTCAAGCTTTCCTTTTTGGTTATTTGTATTTTGTAAGAACAAAAGTAGCTACCCATTTCCTATTTACAGACATAACAATAGCACATTTTCATATTTTTTTTTAGGTTGATGGTATCACAGGAAATGAACATCTTGATGGAGCTAGAATAGGCATTGTGGCTAAACCTTCGGCCGAGTTCATTGCTGGCATACTAGGGACTTGGTTTAGTGGAGGTGTTGCAGTCCCCCTTGCACTTAGCTACCCGGAAGCTGAACTCTTACATGTCATGAATGATTCGGTTTGCCCTTGAGCTTGAACTTTCTAATTTTTTTTTCCTTTTCTTAGTTTCTATTTTTATATTTCTGGCATACTCCATGGAACATGTAGTTAGTACTCTTACTATTGCTTTTGAATCAAGTGAATGCATACTTACTGTAAGTGCCAAACTTTGTTCACCTAAATCTTATTTTGATTCAATGCTTATTTGGTGTTTACTCCTGGCTACAATATGATTATCTTTGCCATTTGGATAATTTATACCATCTTCTTGTAGAAAAAAATATTTCTATCTGTTGTGTTTCAGACTGTGATTTTTTCTTATTTCCTTGTGCAATCACTGATCATAGCTCCAATTTGATTTTGATTTTTAGGATGTCTCCATGATCTTGAGTACTGAAGATCATCGGGAGCTTATGCAAAATGTTGCATCTAAAACTGCTGCTCAATTTTCTCTTATTCCACCTGTTCCTAGTATCCTTTCACAGACAACTAGTAATGATCTATCACAAACTGGAGAAATGGATGTTGATAGAAGTTTGCCAGGGATTGGAAACTCAAATGGGATAGAAGGTAGTTTAGTTTGAAGGTTATTATTATCTTTTAAAGGCTGTGTTGTGAGAGATCTTATAATGATTAATTTCCTCATATTCTCATGTTGGTCCTCATATTGTGCCTCCTATTGCTGGGAGAAGGCTCTTTTGTGTTGAGTTTCCTCTTATTCTTTTCTTTTCATTTTTACTTTTATGCAGGGGATGACCCAGCATTGATAATCTATACTAGTGGTACCACAGGTAAACCTAAAGGAGTTGTTCATACGCACAAAAGCATCTTAGCACAGGTACTTGTCTGTGTTCCCTGGTTGCAATGACTTGGAATTTTTAAATAGCACTGCTATCCTAATTAGTGCTTCTGCCATATATGGGCAAAAAAAGTTTTAAGTGTTCTTGTTCAATTGGTGACTGGTTGTAAACTTGTTGCACTTAAGTTGAAATGGGAGACTTGTTGTTAGCATGTGATGGTATTGTTATTTTATTAGCTTCTTTCTTGGAAGTCTTTACCCTGCAAACATGCATGCCATTTGTAGCTTCAATTTTATACTTCCAGAGATGGCATCCTTGAAGCTTTCACTTGTTCATAAAGTTGTAATAAATATGTCAGGTCCAAATGTTGGCAAATGCTTGGGAGTATACATCTGGGGATCAATTTCTGCATTGTCTACCATTGCATCATATCCACCATACCAGTTGTTTATTTGTAAAACCTCTTTCTTAACTATCTTGTTTGGTTATTTTTCTGGCTGGAAATTGTGCCTTATATCTATTGCTTAACTAATGTGCTCTGCAAGTATGTAATGCCAAAATATGAGTGGGTAGATCCTTAACTTCTACCACACATGTTCATGGGCTTTTCAATGCTTTGCTTGCCCCTCTCTATGCGGGTTCCACGGTAATTCCTTCTAATTCATGTTTTAGTTCCACAAAGCTTGGTTTCAGAATCAGATTTTTTTCCTTCTTAATGCTAAAATTCACTACAGTGGAAGTTCTTCTAGTAGCATTACTTTTGATTTTAGTGTTTCCTTCTGTGTTGTTACAGGTTGAATTCATACCAAAATTTAGTGTAAGGGGTGTCTGGCAAAGGTGGCGTGAATCCTATCCAGATAACGGGAATAAAGCAATGGATGCTGTAACTGTGTTTACAGGAGTAAGTTAAGTTTTTCGTGGTAAGAACTAGGCAATTAATGTTGGCATGGTAAATTGTGGTCAATTTCTGTTCTAATCATTTCCATTATATATGTTTGAGCTATATCTTTCCCAAATAAAACACCTGGGAGAATGGCTTACAATGTCCCAGAAAAAATACACATCACAGAGCATGTATTACTATGGCTTAGTAAAACAGCACATATGTGGCAGTCTGATTTCAGTTATTTGTTTTTGCCTTTTGAAATATTCTCAGAAATGGATATTTTTGAACTACCCCTATTTAACATTGGCCATGGTAACTTGTGGTCAATTTCTTTTCTAATCGTTTCCATTATATATGTTTGAGCTATATCTTTCCCAAATAAAACACCAGGGAGAATGGCTTACAATGTCCCAGAAAAGATACACATCATGGAGCATGTGTTACTATGGCTTAGTAAAACAGCACATATGTGGCAGTCTGATATCGGTTATTTGTTTTTGTCTTCTGAAATATTCTCAGAAATGGATATTTTTGAACTACCCATATTTAACATTGGCACAACTTACTCCTGGTATCCTGTCTGTATTTGCGGATGTTTGGTCAGGAGAATTAAATCCCCAGATTATACCAACTTTCCCCCATTGGTGCCTTTCTAGATGAAATAAGTAGATACCAACTTTTCCCAAAATGCACTGATGCACTAAACGTTTTGCTTGGTCAAACCACAAAGAATGTATGGTCCCATTGTATTCTTAAACTCATGGTCTTCAACGAGTTTTCTTATTTTTCATGATCTAATTGCGGTAGTGCTTTTGTAATAATAGGTTCCGACTATGTATACTCGATTGATACAAGGCTACGAAGCAATGGATTCACAATTGAGAGCTGCTTCTGCTTCAGCTGCAAGCCAGTTGCGTCTCATGGTAATTTGCCGGCGGTCCCTTATAAATTGGAATTTTGTTTTGAAGGTTTAGTTAGGAACTTTTGACTTGATGATGTGGTATTGGTTCTAATCCTTATTGGATAATATTATAGCCTTTTTTCTTAATTTTTCTTTAAAGTCTATTTTTTGTACCTGCCAAATTATGTTGATGAATGCTTAAATGTGACGGTAGGTGTTGTTTATATTCCCAGATGTGTGGCTCCTCTGCACTTCCTCTACCAATCATGCAACAGTGGGAAACCATCACTGGACATCGTCTTTTGGAACGATATGGCATGACTGAGGTATTCGTAGTATTCATCTACTTTTGCATCCTTTCTGTAAACAGTTTTCTTAACGGAGAAGAGCCTTGGAATTTCTCTCTTTAAGCACGTTCTTCCTCTGCTTATGTTGAGGGCTTTACATTTGTAGTTCGTCATGTCAATTTCTAATCCCTTAAGAGGTTTGCGGAAAGGAGGCACTGTTGGCAAACCTTTTCCCGGTGTACAGGTTAGCAATTTTTTTTAATTGTATAATTTAACAATTTATGCATATGCAGCTTGATAAAAAGGATGGGATATGAAAACTATGACATAGGACATCATCTGAAATCTCATTCATCCACAGTTGATGTGGTAAATGTTAACATTTCTTATATCCATTATAGGCAATGATTCTTGCAGAAGATGGTGGTGATGATACAACAGGGGTGGGTGAACTTTGCATTAGAAGTCCTTCTTTGTTCAAGGAATATTGGAAACTTCCTGAGGTATTTCCCGACTGACCGACTTCATTAAGACCCCTAGCATATTTTTTTTCTAATTTGGTTCATAGCTTAATAGTTGCTTTACTTTTTCACATATAGATGTTATATACAGTTTTCTTACATGCTGGATAATATGAACATGATCCATCATGCTGTAACTCCTGCTTTCATTCTANTGGTATCCTGTCTGTATTTGCGGATGTTTGGTCAGGAGAATTAAATCCCCAGATTATACCAACTTTCCCCCATTGGTGCCTTTCTAGATGAAATAAGTAGATACCAACTTTTCCCAAAATGCACTGATGCACTAAACGTTTTGCTTGGTCAAACCACAAAGAATGTATGGTCCCATTGTATTCTTAAACTCATGGTCTTCAACGAGTTTTCTTATTTTTCATGATCTAATTGCGGTAGTGCTTTTGTAATAATAGGTTCCGACTATGTATACTCGATTGATACAAGGCTACGAAGCAATGGATTCACAATTGAGAGCTGCTTCTGCTTCAGCTGCAAGCCAGTTGCGTCTCATGGTAATTTGCCGGCGGTCCCTTATAAATTGGAATTTTGTTTTGAAGGTTTAGTTAGGAACTTTTGACTTGATGATGTGGTATTGGTTCTAATCCTTATTGGATAATATTATAGCCTTTTTTCTTAATTTTTCTTTAAAGTCTATTTTTTGTACCTGCCAAATTATGTTGATGAATGCTTAAATGTGACGGTAGGTGTTGTTTATATTCCCAGATGTGTGGCTCCTCTGCACTTCCTCTACCAATCATGCAACAGTGGGAAACCATCACTGGACATCGTCTTTTGGAACGATATGGCATGACTGAGGTATTCGTAGTATTCATCTACTTTTGCATCCTTTCTGTAAACAGTTTTCTTAACGGAGAAGAGCCTTGGAATTTCTCTCTTTAAGCACGTTCTTCCTCTGCTTATGTTGAGGGCTTTACATTTGTAGTTCGTCATGTCAATTTCTAATCCCTTAAGAGGTTTGCGGAAAGGAGGCACTGTTGGCAAACCTTTTCCCGGTGTACAGGTTAGCAATTTTTTTTAATTGTATAATTTAACAATTTATGCATATGCAGCTTGATAAAAAGGATGGGATATGAAAACTATGACATAGGACATCATCTGAAATCTCATTCATCCACAGTTGATGTGGTAAATGTTAACATTTCTTATATCCATTATAGGCAATGATTCTTGCAGAAGATGGTGGTGATGATACAACAGGGGTGGGTGAACTTTGCATTAGAAGTCCTTCTTTGTTCAAGGAATATTGGAAACTTCCTGAGGTATTTCCCGACTGACCGACTTCATTAAGACCCCTAGCATATTTTTTTTCTAATTTGGTTCATAGCTTAATAGTTGCTTTACTTTTTCACATATAGATGTTATATACAGTTTTCTTACATGCTGGATAATATGAACATGATACATTATGCTGTAACTCCTGCTTTCATTCTAGGATTTTGTTCTTCTCCAAATTTTGTTGCAAATGTGCACATATTTATAGTCATTTCTCTCTGAGAAATGAATGTCATGTGCCCTTAAACATATATTGTCCACATTGACTCTGCGCATTGTTTTAGGAAATCCAGTTAAATGCATCCTCTCTATTCCTTGGATATTACAGTGAGCAGTACTAGTGAATTACTTGCAATTGATATTATAAAAGGAGGACATATTAGGAAACTTACTAGTAAAAGACTAGTTGACCCTTTTGAAATTTCTCACACATGATCTGCCATATACTTCATAGCTACTGTGCTGGGAACGCCATTAGAATTGTGTTCTAATTTGCATCAACTATAAATGCTGCACATCTTCAGTTTCTCATCCAGTGCATACATGTGATTGGTTGTTAGGTAACTAAAGAATCGTTCATTGATGGTGGCTTTTTCAAGACTGGAGACACTGCTAAAGTAGATGAAGATGGATATTATGTCATCTTGGGACGTAAGGATGCTTAGATTTGAATGATTTGTTTTACCTTTTGGATCAATATCTTCTATGCTTGGGGCTAGTTTCTTTACATAACCCAGTTGACGGTTATAGCTTTATGGTACCCAACTACCCATAAATATGCGATGGCTAATATACTCTTGAATCAGCCTGCCGATAGCATATTTCTGGAAATTTAGTAAGCCTTTCATTGAATTGCTTGTCCGAATCACCTTCAATCCTCTGATGGCATTTATCAGGTACTAATGCTGATATTATGAAAGTGGGAGGATACAAATTATCTGCGTTAGAAATTGAAGCAGTCCTTTTAGAGGTAAGTGATTGTCTTCCTCCATATTGGGATGTATGACTTACAATTGTATATCTCATATTATTCTTGCTCTTCTAATAACCGTTTGTCAAGGGGAAAACTTGTTTGCAAAGTAAACAATGGATTTTTTTCCCGATAAGAAAAAGGAACAATGGATTTTAATCAATCCAATCTGTTACAGCATCCAATTGTGTCCGAGTGTTGTGTGTTGGGCTTACCTGACAAACACTATGGGGAAGCTGTATGTGCAATAATTGTGCCTGAGGCAGAGGTGAAGAGAAAACGGGAGGAGGAATTGAAACCTGCTCTGCGTTTGGATGAACTGTGCACCTGGGCTAAAGAGAAACTCGCACCCTACAAGGTATCAAACTGTACCCATCCTCTCACTCTTTCCTATTTAGGGGTATTGAGCACTTGTAGTTGGACTGTTTTTTCCTCGAGTTTAGAAATAGAAAGAAAAGCATGAAGCTACGCTTTCACCAGTCAAGTTTAGTGGCAATGTGTGTGAAAGTGATATTCCCTTGCTGCCTTCTTGGTGTTAGACACCCAGTTTTCAATTGTATGCATTGAGATGGCGAAACATTAATAGGTGCTTCAAACCAAACATGTGTAATGATCACTCAATTCTTATATGTCCTAATGCCAAGCCCTTGCCCTTCATCCATATGGTTGCCCTCCCACCTTCCACATATTTTTGTTGAAGTTCCTGAAGCCCCTGGTGACCTTTCTAGCCTGTATTCCATGTTCTGTGAACTAATTTTTCTGCTGGGGTAAAGAATCAACAGAACATACCCTTGGGGTGCTCAAATTGGTATATTTAATGATCCTTTGTGTCTTCAAGTTTCTTTGTATGCCATGCTTCTTTCTCAAACAGTGTACGACTTTGGTTTAGTTGTTCAGTCATCAGGTTTGATATTATCCCTCTGTATCCTCTTTATGACATGGGAGTTGCGTGTCCAACTAACTTGAACTATTATCTTATTGTGAAAATCATCCATGAGGTTTGGAGTAAAAGTTCAATCTTACATTCTGATTGTTGATTATCATTTACTAGTAATCTTACTCTACCACTGTTCTTTCCAGTTACCAACTCAGTTGTTCTTGTGGGAGTCGCTGCCTCGGAATGCCATGGGAAAGGTCAGTTGCTTTCAGTTTTTGTTTTTCAAGGAAAATCTTCGTTCCTGTTTCCAGTACTCTGTCAAAAAAGAAATGTTTACATGAAGCTTGTCTCATTAGACCTTTTTCCCCATAATTCCAGGTGAATAAGAAGGAATTGAAGAACGCACTAGCTTCTGAACAACAATAAAGTCGTTGGGTTGTTGATCAACAGTGGAGGATGCAACATAGATGTTGTGAGTCGAAAAATGAAAAACGAATCTATGCAACTAGTTCTCCTTCCATAGTAGCCTTTTTCTTGCAATAAGTTCTCCCATTATAGGGAGCATGGTACCCAGTACTTTTGAAAATACAGATGAGCCCTCTGAAGATTGCCTCTGGTAAATTAAGCATGTGTACCCATCCTGTTTTCAGAATTGCTATTTTTCAAAGGGACACCGTATAAAATTGTAAGTTGTTTGTATCCTGATTAATCGTGGTAAAGCAAGTTTGATTTGATTCAAATGTTCAGTTACTGTAATTTAGAGCAAACATCAAGTTATCCGTACATCAACCCTTGTATAAGAAATAAAGTAATTTCCTTTGAGCATGCTTGATTCAGATGATTTGTAGTTGATCGTGGGTATCTACAGGGTTTGGTAGCCTAAAATAGACTGAAAATAAATTTCCTCCTATAATGAGATCTGTAAATCAACTCCTTTGCTTTCAGTGTCCATTTTTAGCAATATGCAACCAAAGAGCCATTCATTAAAGCATAGTGCACGACGAGTAGAACTCATCCTGACCTGTAAAAAAGACGGTCGAATACTTCAGGGTCTGAGGAGGGACAAGGGTTTCTATGGACTTTTTTTTTTTTTTTTTAGCAATCAAGAGAATTTAAGCACACCTCAATCTTTTTTTTTGGTTGGATAAAAGGTGGATCATCCACTCGTAAATTATGATATTCACGGAAAATAACGTCATGTTTGGTTAGCTTTTTTTTGTTCTCAAAATTTCAAAAACACCAAAAACCTATTTGTTTAACATTTTTCTTCTCAAAATTTTGAGAAAAAATGAGATTTGAGTTAAAGAAACAGAAAACAAATCTAGCTTTTTTTCAGAGTATTCTTTCAAAATTTTGAAAACAAGGAGAATAATTTTGGACTTTAATGAGATCTGTCCTTCGAATCTCCTTAACAACAAATTTCTTCATTCTTTTTTTTTTACTTCTTCCTCTCTCTCATAATATATAATATATTATACAATATCTATATATATATTATAATAAAATATATAATATATTATATATATATATATACTCTTACTTTGATGTTGTGAAAATAATCTTGTGATAATAATGTTTCTGTTATAATATATAATATAATATGTATATATTAATATAATATAATATTATAATATGTATATATATATATATATGTATATATATATATATATATGTATATATATATATATA